TAAAACCAGAATAACAGACAGCAGTACATCTGTAAGAGAAAGCTCCCTCCACTTGCAGTGGCTAGCACCAGCACTGGATTCAATTATCAAAGTATTTCTGCCTTGTGGGATTACACAAGACATAGAAAGTTCATTCTTCTGTCTTATTCACAGATCATCCTTCTATACATTAATCTACACGTTTTTCTCACAGAAATATAACCAAATGCTATTAAAAGTTACTCAAAAAACGAAAAAAAAAAATATACAGGTTCCAAACCCATGTTTATCCATTCCTCTGTGCATGAATTATTACAACAAAGCTATATTATTATTTGTTATATTTCTTGGGACAAATGAAGAAAGAAATATGGACAAACCTCCATTCATACAATTTGTTTGCATAATTATGGTACTCTTGATCTGTTGATCAGCGCTATAATTCATGCTCCCACTGATCCTTCAATGGTAATATAGGGAAACATCACCTGTTCAATGAAAGGATGCCCAGCCTACTACCTCCTCTCTGTTCATTACAGAAGTCTCCCTTTTTTAGTTTTTCTAAGCTTCCATGATTTCAATTTTTTCATTAAGGCTTGGCTGGTTTCGTAAAATAAATAGCCACCACCCAAGCAGAAAAAAACCTGAACAAGTAACTTGTTAACATGTTAAATAAATCCTTGCACTTGATTAAATTAGTGGCTTTTTGTATGTTACAGACACAAAGCCTCATACTAAACATGATTACAGTCTTCCACTACTTTTGGGAGAGAAAAAAAACAAAAAAAAAGCTAGTGAATATAGCTCTGTTATGTTGGGTACATGACAACTACAGTCCTGAACCTGAGATAAAGGTCCACATACCGTACTTCCATAAAGGGCCAGCAGAAATGCATAGAACGTGACAAACAATCAAACAGGTTCTTCCCTTGCACATTTTCACAGCTTCCAAAAAACAAGCAGTTCAGGGACTTGGCTAATTCAAGAGTAGCCTTGGATAAACTTCTCCAATAGGCAGCGATACACCTATTCTCCATCATTGTATCTCACCTCATTCAGGAGCTATTTATACTTTACCACTTAATAATCTGTTGAGGTTCTCCCTAATTCTTCTGATATTTTTCTAACAGCTCTTTTTAAGATGAGTATATCTATCACTAAAACAGTGGATGACTATTCATTTACATAGCACCTTAATAAGGTTTTGTGTTCCCACAAACTGAAAAAATCAGTTCTTCCACAAGACTATTTAAGGGTAAGCATTATGAAGCAACCTTTAATTAGAAAATCGTTTGCTATGTTTTTCCTGAGGACACCAATTCAATTCAATAAAAACATGCTGACATAAATATTCTTTGGTGCCAACAGCTTTGCATAACATCAGGACTTGACTGCACTCTGAAGCACAGACAACCAGGTCAGTTTTTAAAGCTGAACTCCTGTAGCTACCAACCAAAGCTTTTTGAGAGTGTTGAGAAGATTTCTAAGGGAAGTTATACCAAACTAAGAGAAAATGGGATAAGCAATAGTTTAAAAGCCTATGCAGAAAATAATTGCAGCTTTTATGTCAAGTTGAAAATAGATTTATAAAATTTTCACATGCAAACTAAACTGGTTTTAAATTCCAGGAACAAGGAGATACTCAAAACTGTTCCCAGTATAATAACTTATCTGGAAGATAGCAAATATACCACCTTACCAAATCATCTACTTGTCAATGAGAGCAGCACTGAAGACTGATAATGTTTCCATCAAAAAATGCTAGTTTCGTCACCACAAGGTAACACCAACTCTAAGACTTGGAAAAAATTTATTCCACTATGAAATTTCTACCTTGCTTTTTATTAGAACAAACAGAAGTCACTGCCTCAATCAGGAAACAGTACTGCATCACCAAAATGCATTGCAGGACTCTCCCAAGCAAATTCTCAGACTAAATACTTTTTAATGAACACACACTATCATTAATGCTATTGCAGTCTCCATCAGAAATGCAGATGGAGAGGAGAAAGCAAAGAGGAAAAGGCATAAAACAGAAAGACTGTCTTGAAGGGCACTGAAACACCAGTTAACACTGGTCTCAAAGTGGCACTAACCATACAGTGCCTAGAAGTTCAGAGTAATTTTTGCTGTCAAGTATTCCCTAGATTCCCTGTCCTGGAAAGCATCTATTCCCCCTTCTTATATAAAATCTTGATGAAAAGATGTATATACATTACATAGATGCAAAAAGAGGGCCTTCTTTCACACTGTTTGAGCAATAATCAGCTTCATGGTTCACATATCTTTTGTTAATATTGAGAACTGTTTTATAACTTTCCACATTAGTGTTTTTTTTCCAAATAATTACCAAAATTCTAAATCTTTTCCTAAAATGGCCTTTTAATGTAATAAGGTTAATATTAAACTAGTCTAGCAGCTAATACAGGCAGACAGTATATTGTAATGCCAACAATCTAAGCATATATTCCAAAAAGAAGTTGTTAATATGTCCCATAACAGTTTTTGTTGGATTCTGAATTTAAATATAGGCAGGTTTCTGAATATGAAGTATTCAGCCAAATATAAAATTAAATACTTTTCCTAAACTAGAAGCTTTCCAAACACAAAAGTGTGCAGGACTCACTGAAAAGGTGGTTCATCCACCATACACAGATACATTAGCTTGCACAGACTAAAAGCTAAATTTAATTTTTAGATGCAAAAAAATTCCTGGATGTTTGCCAGTTTAAAGCCCAAAGCAGACTTGTTACTACCCTGATAAAAAGCCCTGTGTATAGAACAGAATTTCATTCTACCTTTACTTAAAGAACTGCTTGGCTCCATAATGTCTGTATGATATATTAAAAAGTCTGAAAAAGAGGAAGAAGAAAAAGTTTGAGGTCTTTTAAAGAGCATTTTCCAATATTCCTCTAAATAACTTGGATCAGCTTTACCCTACCTGGTATCTGTTCTTAAAAGTGACTCAGATGATTCTCCTCCCACACAGATTCAGTATTTAAAAAAAAAAAAAAAAAGAAAGAAAGAAAAAAGGCTTCTAATCTACATCAAAATACATTTTGTGTAAAGTATTCTTCAGTTTAGGTCCTGCATGGATCAAATACAACATGCTTTTGATTGAAGTATCTGAGCTCTACTACCTAATAACTGTGAACAGAAAGACTTTCTTAGCTAGAGTCACATAAACAAGATAATTTACTAGTGCTAAAGAAGGACCTAAATTAAAACCCATTAAAGCCATCAGACTGAGTTTTTACATCTACTAGAAACTTCTGAGAAGGCCTTATGTCTCCCCTGGAATATTATACTAAGTCTGAACAAAAATGATGCCAGAGAGAGAAGATAAAAGGCAGAGCAGGGAAATACCTACGGCAAGTAATAAGGAAAAAGAAGAGGATAAAAATCCATTAAAACTATTCACAGTATGAACAGAAATCCTTCTTCCTATTCAAGAGCAATTCCCCCGACAGACTTTACACCTTTAAGGTGGTGGAAACCTGAACTGTCCTTAATACATCTGTCCTTTCCTAGACTCCTTCAGCTAAAAAACAAAGTTCCATGGCTGATTAAGGCCATCAAACCCAAGTCTACACCAAACCATGTGCTCTGACCCAAACAGAGTTTAAATTAATTGAGAGGTAACTGCTATTCAGAACTGAACTGCAAACAGCCATCGTGATTTTGCTCTCAATTCTTCATGATGTATTACAAGAAAAAAAAATCCATCATTTTAAACAAAAAGTATATGAAGTTCTTATTACCCTCTCTGCAGCAACACAATTTTCAGAGCAAATGCATGGTGGAATGTATGTTATATCTAAACATTAGGGCTGATATACATTCATCGTAACAGACAAATCAAGTCCCTAATCAGGCCAGGTAATTCCTGGTACAAATCTAGTAAATAGCTCAATATTTCTTGGCATGTTTCCAATTTTTACATTATTATAATTAACCAAATCTATGTCAGCAGCAATAAAAAGGGCAGAGACTAATACTTATTGTTATGAGTCCTATTATTTTGCAAGACAAAGTGAAGTAAATTTTATGGCTTTCCACAGTAGCATTACAGAGATCTCACAAAAAAGCTCTCCTTACACTCTTTTGAACTAAAGCCAGAAATTATTATGTGGTTCTGTTATTCTACCTGGAAAGCAGCCACAGCTTGCTAGGCATCACTCCTGCAAGTACTGAAGGATTGCTTTCTAGAACAGAAAAGTCTGACTAGATAGTTGATCAATACTGGAGTCGTACATTTGCAGTAGCTAGAAATGACAGATCTAAGGTAGCAGTTTTATCAGTTCTGCTAATGAAAATGTTGTGCCACCTGCCAGAGAAATGGAGAATTGCTGCTTGTTTAGAACCCCACGAGTACTCTTTTTTTTTCCACTAATTATTAGATGAAGATTAGCATTCTCTAAACACCATTTTAAAAGCAGGCTTTATTCTTATGCAATGGACTCATATTGAATCTCAGACAATCAGCTGGTGGGAATATTCTTGCACTATTTCTACTGCAAAGGTGAGTTCTAATTGAGAAGTATGCTTAGCAACAAAATGTGGATAAAACTGGGATTTTTAAAACCTTCACCTGTTAAATTAAGCAAACCACAAAAAAAAAAAAAGAGGAGAAATGTGGAAAAGGTACCAAACAGCTTTAAAGCAGAAGATGCTTTTGCCATCAAAAATGCACTTCCATACCGTTATCCCACTTCCTGTGGAAATCTCAGTCCCAGATCTCTTTACAAACCATGTAGAAACAGCAGCTCTACTTAACTCATTACTAACACTAGTTTTTTAGTTATGATGGTGCATAATCCCTCTCTCTTCACCTCAGTTTTCCCTGGGCTGAAGCCTGCAACAGAAGCTTGCTAAAAAAAAAAAAACAACCCACAGTGAAAACTCTCCCAAACAGAAACTCCAATATTTTAACATTTAGAATCACTCAAAGAGACACAATTCTCATCATTTAACTGTGTATTGAAAAAAATGTTCATAAAGGTGCATGCAGTGAACTGTACCTCATTTTCGCCACAGTCAGAAGGTGTATCCTTGTGTATAGCCATCTGATACTTGGCAAATAAAGCGGCTGATTGGTTGAAGGATGATTTGAACTGGGGATCCTCAAAGGAGACAGGTACTAACCTCACCTTCAGAGCAAGGAAAATACAAGCATGCTATTTTGAGTGCATATAGTCAGATAATATGCTTCTGAAGGTAAGGCTAGTGAAAGATCTCCTCCTAGCCACTTCAAAGCCTCTGAAAACAGTTTTCTACTTTAAACTTAGTAACAAGAAAATCCCCCTACAGGGGAAGTCTGACAACACTAAGCTTAAACTGACTGTTGACACTTTCATTACAAGATAAAAATTGCATAACACTAGGACACTCCAAAACACTACTTTAGTCAATATATTTTTTGACCAGATTATTTCACAAATCAACCACAAATTTTATTTTCACTGTGCAGTCTCAAGGACTTTTAAAATACATTACTATTAATGGCACATCACTCATTCTCCCAGTTCAACAATTGCATATTCTTGCTACATATACTCTTTTTCCAAACTACTGATTTTTTTCTTCACAGTATTAGAGAGATAATATGTCAAACAGCTAACTATTACACACCGCCTGGTCATTACAAGAAGCAGTACTGATGTGTAATTTAGATGGAGTGCACACATTACTTCCTAAGGGGCTTAAATTGCAAGCAAAGAGGTTTATACCACTTCTGTCCTTAAACCAACTATTTGTATGTGCGATAAATTTTTACTCACATGTTGGCCCTGATCATGCTAGTTCCTCCTATGGAAACATTCAAACCAAAGCCAGTGCGACTAGTTATCAGGGTAAGTGTCCAGCTGGTTTTAGTTCTTATGAGATTTGTATTTACAAGGCCCAAAATATCTATCTCCAAAAGCCTCATCCTCTCCATCTCTTACCCAACTGCATATCCATGTAACTTCCCTAACTTTTCTGTCTGCAGTTAAGACCTAATATTTGTGACACTCAAAGAGATATCAAGTAAGTTTGCACTTTCAGGATGTTGATTTTATTTGATACGGTATTTTACATGCTCCTGAATATATAATGGATATAAAAATCCACATTTGTTTCTCCTAGAAACAAGACACATGAAATGTGCTGAGCTTTGCATAAAATTCATTAGGCCTTCTGACCTGATTTATAGTTGGTTTATCAGGTGGGTCCTTGTGAATAACCATCTGGTAACGTTTATAGACCTGGTAAGACTCCTGAAATGTGGCTTTGAACTGTGAACTTGGTGGAGATGATCTCACCACCCTCACCTTCAGAAGAAGTTAAACACATTTGTTATTACAATATCATGCAATAACTATACATTTATACATACACAAATATCAGAAGAGAGAGAAATTGTGACTTCCTGAACAAGGGCCCTAACAATTAATATTAGACTCAGCTCAATTCAGGCTACTGAAGTCTTTTATATTTACATTGAATAACATAAAAGGGCTTCAAACTACAAGTTAAGATAACTAAAATGCTTATAGAAGAACTACACAAAGTTTTCAGGAAATAATACCAACAAATGGTATGCAGATCAACTTTTTAAAAATATTTTCTTACTTTTTAAAATCTTCTTTTGCAGTTTCACGCTACACTGTAAAATACTTGAAGGACCCATGCATTTGGAAAACTGGAATTTGTGCTCTTTAGATAAGACTATGTCTTTATTTCAGTAATCCCAAGGGGATTTCTAGGTATGTTTCAAATTGAAAACGGAAGAGAAAACAGTATTTCCCTATTCAATTACGAGTTAATCATAACAGGAAGTTACCTGTCTTCTCCACCAACCTTCTTAACACACACAAAAATAGAAGTATTTTAAAAAAATAGAAATCTATATATTAAAAAAATGTTCTTAGTAAAATGATTGCTTCCTAACCAACAGAATGGTATCACATGAGCAACAGTGCATTTCTTTTCAAGCATATTTAAATGACAGTTTCATTCCCAGGAAAACATTAATTTTCCGTATGGTTCTGTTTTCACAAATTCACTGGTCCTGATCTATTAAAAGAAACCCAAAATCCACACTTGACAGCCATAGTAAGAAGCACAAAGACAATCTGGGAAAACAGGGATGGAACCATTCTCCTTTTAACTCTCCCTGCATCTTCTAAATAAAGATGTTCAGACAAAGCCAGCATACTTCTGTTTTACAACTCAAGACAACCTGGAGGAGTTAGTGAGAGGGATCACTTTCATGGCTTCTTGTCAGTTATTCAGGGTGAATCTGTCAAGTCATCATCACTACCTCTTTGACTAACTACCGAAAGAATATGAATTTCCAATACCATCATTGATAATCAGTAACTACAAGTAAATACTTCTATTCAAATAATTTTCCAGCTTCCAAAAAAAGGGGAAAAAAAAATAGTTTGAGGATTAAAAAAATGTTAACAAAAGTCTGAGTGTCTCCCAGATGACTACCTCCATATTACTAAAAGATTTAACGGCAACCAGTATATTAAACAAAATTTTCTACCATCACTTTTACAGCTTCCAAAGACATCAACACACATCAATGACATTTTATAAAGAGCAGCTATCTTATCTAATTTTATGAACAGTTACTGCTTTCTTGTCAAGATTCATTAGCATAGATTGTTTAAGTATTTATATACTGCAGACCTAAATATTGAATCTCTCCCATCATTCAACACTCAAGTTAATTCAAAGTCTTTCATTTTCAAGTCGCACTGTATGAAATCAATTCGAAAGTTATTTTGGTAACTGTACCGGGGGGGGGGCTCTGCTACAATTCACTGCAAGTGCAAGAGTACCCTCTTGTGGTTACACAGAGCTCAGCTGCGCTGTGTGTATTTATTTATTTATTTATTTATTTATATGCAGTATCACATATATTTCTGGATTTAAACTACAATAATTCCATAAAGTCACAAATATTAACCATCTAAGCATTTCAAAAACTCCTTAACTAGACTTTTCCTTAATTTGCCTCCAACAGGAGTGAACAAGACATTACCTCTAATTTGTGTTGTGCATCATCAGGTAAAGAAACAAAAACGAAGTCTTCAATGGTTTTAGGTTGGTTTGTCTTAGATTTAGAGTTTTGCAAGAGGAAAACTTGATCTTCTGTTTGAAGTTGAGAGCCTCCCAGTGTGCACATCTGGTTCTGAAGGAGTTTCTGCAGTTTTCTTTCTTTCCGTATGTCCTTTGCTTTTCGACACGGTGGCTTGCTCAGATCAGCCCCTTTCCCTACAAGGGCACAGACAAAGAATTAAACACCACATTTTGCAATAAACAAGTAGTTCTTACATAATGACTGAAAAGAAAAATGGTTAAAACCACCATTAATTGCAGACTGTGATCTGAATGTAGCAAGCTAAGTTGCAATTCTTCCTCTACGGCTATTTAATGAAGCACTTTAATATGGAAACACCTTGACCTCTATTAAACCCCAAAGTCAAGGATATATTTAAAAACTAAAATGAAAAGACTTCCTGCTAAAACTTTCCTTAAAACATTTTGTCATATCTGCCTCTCAGAAACAAAGAGAAGCTCCTGTTCAGTGTATGGCATGATGGTGTACCACATCCAACCAGCTACAGCATCAGCTTGAAATACTAAAAGGAAAAAAGCACAACCACAAAACATTGCAGCCAAATTCACAGAGAATTGTTCAAGCACATCAAAAAAACAGGTAGCTACACAACAGAATCCTGTGGAAGACACACACCAGAAAAAAAGCATTTATTTTTTTATCCCTGAATCCTTATACACTATATAGAAATGCTGCCAATGCCAGCAGCATTAGTGCAAATGTTACTAATGTTACGTAGAAGAAAAGGCCACATAAACTTCCATCTTTGTTTAAAATTACATTCAGATTGTCTGGTTTTACTAATTGTTTCACTTTTACCAATTTACCTCCATCTTTAACAGATCAACCATTTATAACGTTCAATTTGTGAAATGTTATTTACTTAAAAGAGAAAAACTAACCTAGAAAACAAATGGATCAGCATGGAAAATAGTACATTGTACTTCAAGAACTTAGCTTTAAAGCAACACAACCAACAACATGCACAAATAAATATTCATGTGGTCCAAAGTCCTCAACGAAGGGGCCAGATTAATTTTATCCTTAGGACACTAATGTAAGATAAAAAGTCAAGATTAAAGATTGCCAATAATACAAAAATTAATACAGCATTTTCTCCAATTATTAAAAAAAAAAAAAAAAAAAAAAGGCTGATCCCCATTCTACCCACTAAATGCACTAAAAGTATGGTTACCAAGCAAATAATCTACTTCCAAGCAGCAATTTCCCTAGACAGTATGATTTTAACAGATACTGATTGTAAATCCATAAATTCTAATTTATGAAAATTACAGAAAGCAAGAAGCATTTTCCTAACACTCTCAGTTCTGCCTGGAACTTGTGCATGATTGTTGGCTGTTCCATGTAGTGCCCACAAGGAACTGAACACCATACCTTGCTCCAGAAGCTGTGTAAGAGCTGTACAAATCTGCCTGCACCGCTGGAAACAGTGGTAGAACAAATAATCAATTTTCAAGAAATACCTGTCTCGGCAACTGCTGTTGCAAGTTCCATACAGAGGGAAAGTTGCATTCAAAACTGTATCAGCGGCCAACTAATGTGATATAACTCTGCATCTTTTATTACTTTTTGGTGTAGTGGTAGGTGAGTTGAAGACCAAAAAAAAAAAAGAGCAATAACACTACAAGTTTCAAAAAGAGATGAAGAGTGGAAAAAACTACTCCAATATAGTTATGTATCTTGCACAGAACCAAGACTGTAACAAATATAATGCCAAATTGCTGAAAAAGTTTTTACACCATTAGCTTTCTCCAGAAATCCATGTATTTACAAGAGACACGGGCAACTTCTGAAAGACTTACTTTTTCACAAATGAAAGTACCCTGAACAGTGGGGTGCTTTTTTTGCAGCATTAGGAAGAAGGCACATTTCCCATTCTATTTATAAGTAAAGAAGAATCCAACCCCAGACTAACTACAGCTTATCCCATTTTACTCTCTTGAAGGCCTGAAAGTGACATGGAAATTGTTTATTTTCCAGAACTCCTATGAAAACACAGAGCTTTCTTTCCTACTCCTTACCAATAACTTATTAGCCAAAACTAACATCTTTCTTGTCCTCCACCCGCTTCAAACCTTCCCATGGACAATGAGAGCAGTGGTATCCTTCTGCAAACTGGAAATGGTAAGAGCACTGGTATTTTAAAAGCTCAGTGAAGCATTTAGACTCACCTTACCTGCAAAGAATTGCAGCGCTCAGACTTGCTGCCTGCATCTTTCTTTACCAATAGATACATTATAGAAATTGGCAAAATATGTTATATGGGGATAAACTTTTAAGGATCAGTAAAGCTGTAAACTATTCTTTTTAATGTGCATACCGTACAGAATTTACAGAGTTTGTATGTGCACTGCCAGGGCAAGTTAGCAGCAAGCTCTTCATGGCTCACCCCAGAAAAGTCCCAGTCTGGTTTCTCCACATAGACTCCATGTCAGCTGAAATGTTGAGAGAATCTCAGGGACTTAGAAAAGGAGTTAACACCACTTTGGCACTCTTCAGACATCCTACAATTGCCCTATAGCAGATGTTATGATCAAGTGTTCTTACCTCTCAGCTAAGGTTTCTGAGTATTTGTTTCATTCATACAGCAAAAATTATTCACCAGAAAAGGACAAGTATAATACTATGAGAAAGTTACAGATACCATGTGACCTGTTCATGGGCAAACAAGTCAGAGGAAGAGTTTATTTAAAATACTCATGATACATGTGAAGAGTGACTGTTTCATCTGTATCAGGATCTGTTTCACGTCTCCTATCTTCTATAAGCTGTAAGTTAGCAAGAAAAACTTCTTAAAACAATGAATGTGCATACAGACATAAGCAAACCTTCTTTTCTATCTGAAACTGTGCAGAAACAGCCCATTATTCCTATAGGACAATGACCTGTTTTGTTTATAAAGGACTAAAAATGCAATTAAACAATCTTATGGAATACGTCTACATTTTCCAAGATGAAAACTAAACATCTTTCTATCTGGAAAGTTTTAAACTGAATTTGACCTGCGACACCACCTACCCTTAAAAAAAATAATATTAAGGACGTATTAAATAAGCTTTCTGATGCATTTATTATTCAATTTTCTATTTGATTTAAAGCCTCCAGAAAGAAAGAAGCACACTAATGCATGTTTCTCCTCTATAAAAGTAAATCTCCATTTACTGAAATAGAATACAATGTTCCAGGCTTTCTTTATCTGCATTTCCACTGTTTCAGTTTTACCCAGTGTTATTTTTAACATAACCAAAGACCTTTTTCAAAAGTATCTTACCTTTTTCAAAACAATAGCATGTTCACACTAATAATTTACCCAAGTCTGCCATCTGCTGTCAATATCCACTTAGTTTGCTTCCAAAATGAAGTTTACATAACCCAAAGTTTGTCATCAATTATCTTAAAAACAAGATCTTAACAAATAAGTATCTTAACAAACATGAGGTTTTTGTAAATTTGCACAACAAAAAAAGTTATATAAACTATATAAGGGCTATAAAAGTTTTGACTGCATTTTATAAAATCAAAATCTAAAATACAGTGTTAACAATTCTGGAATAGTTTTCCAGGAACATGTAATAGTACTGTTTCTATGCAGCACTACTGGTTTTCTGAAAACTTTCCTTTTTGTTTAGATGCAAAATTGCTTGTTAAGCTGGTGAAAAACCTAACCCAATTGGAATGAGTGTTCCTTAAAGGAAAAAAAATCATTTTACTCGAAATTAGCTAGCCTACAGAAGGAGACAAAAATCTTTGTGAAGGAAAAAGTACTTTGAATTCTCATAAATACTGGCGCAACATGTAACAAGCGAGGGAAATTAGGAATTAGTATGACATCCCAACACACACAGAAGTTCTAAAGCATCCGGTCTCCACGAGGATTTTAACTAACATTACTCACCATGTATTGGCTACCTGCAATTCACACAATACCCTTTATTTTTCTGAACAGGCCATTGTAGAGGTTATGCAAAACTGGAAACATGATCTGTAAGACAAGGCTGCCTCACCTGCAACCTCTGGGCCACAAAGGTCCTGTCAGCAATTCTACCTTTGCCAGCGCAGGCTGCAGGTCAAATGAATTATTCTGGCAATAATCCATCCTCCCCTTACCATCCTCCTCCCAGAAATCACCCACGTCCCACAAGAACGCAGCCAGGACACCAGATAAGCTATGAGAGCAGCACTCTGCAGGCACATCCCGGTAGCAGAGTTTTCCAGCATTTCTTTTTTCCCCTCGGGGACCTCGAGGCCTCCTCTGCATGATCACACCCCGCAGAGGCTCACCTACCAGCTGTGACACACAGTCTCCCCTCTCACAACAAGCTACGTGAAAAGCTTACCACCCCTGCAAGCAGATGGGAAATCCCAGGCTCTCATGCTACACCAAGGGGTACCATCACAGCTATCACACAAAAAAGATTACAGTCAGATGACTGGCAATGAGATCATCCTTTTTAGGGTAAAATTTCATATTCAAATGCAGCTCAAAGGCAGCATTTCAGAAATCTTTACAATTATGATACAAAACCTTGACTGAGGGATAACTTCCATATTGAAAAGAGTGACCATACTATTAAAATCGGTATTATACTTAAAAATATATTATTATATTAAAAATTCCACCCATATTCCATGTACTTTCACAAAAAAACGTAGAAATGTATAAGCATTTACCTTCAATTTTTGGCACATAAAAGGTATAGCATTGTATAAATGCATCAGAATTAAAATGAGGGAGATTGCCTTACTTCTTGTTCATACTTACTGCACTTCCTTACAGAAATGTAAAATTGAGTTCACAGCAAGACAAAAATGAGAAATTACTATATCATTTCACATCCTCTAGTGACACTGCTTTTCTAAGCTAAAGTTAGTCAAAATCTAAAACAAGGAAAAGCTCCCAAACAGATTAAAAAGCTCACCTAGAAAATGTCATTCTTTATAGAGGACCAGAAGAATCTCTACTTTTTTTTTTTTTTAATCAGCAGAAAACCATACAGCTTTCTTTCAGCCTACAAAATAACAATACAACTGTATACTGAAAGTATTTCCAATGCCAGTTAGATCTGTGGCAAACAGTCTATGGGAGTGTAAGAAATTTAGCCTTAAACCAGTTATTCGTAGGTCTGTATTCACAGGGTGTAAACAACACAATTTGTATTACAACAAAATGACCTGCAGAAATGAAGAAATGTAAAAACAGTAACTCAGGTGTTTTTCTTGGGTCTTAAACCAGTTTCCCACTGCTGCATAAAACAGGTTAAGCCTTAACCTAACTCAGTAACTAGCAGTCCTGCAGCACCACCCAGAGCTGTACCCAGCTCTTAGCCTTGCACAACCAGGGAGTCTAACGCCTTATGGGTCCCTTTCACTTGAGGTATTCTATGAACCTGAAGGTACATAAAGCGTGAGTCACCACATCCTACAGAAGAAAGGGAGAGCTGGGTGTACACCTTATTCTGCACACAAAAGTATCCCAGATGGAAACTGGTCCCTGTGTCTGATGAGATTCAATCACCTTGATCTATCTGACTGTAATCTAAATAGCTTACAGAAAACTATCAGCTGTTGATACATATTTTCAATATCTAAAAAAAAAAAATTAATATCACAAAAATCAATGCAATTTTCAGGAAAATTGCAACTTTTCAGGAAAAACTAAGAAAACAAGTAACATGCAGCACCTCTCAATTTATACAATATAATTTCATAAAATGAGAAGAATATAGGAAATAAAAAGAAACAATTATTGATTTACTAGGCAAGATAAAAAGAACAACTTCAGCAACAGGCGAAATCATGATAGTATATTCCAATTACTACCAAAAATTTGACTACCTGGTTTTGGTGGCACATGAACAATTTTAGTTGAACGCGACGGTTCTCCAGGGACTGCTGTGTCTTTATCTGTACATATCTGAGGACAACCCGATTCCACCTTCTGCACATTCACCTCTTCTTTTGTTTCTCCTGCGTTCTTCTCTTCACTCTCCACCCTCTCTGTGTGATCCTCACTCAGAGGAGTCAGTTCAGACTGACTGATGTGAGATTCACCTTTGTATGCAAAATCGCAGACGACCGCATCCTCTATGTGGGAATCCATAGGCTCATCTGTCAATAATTAAAAACTGCACGAGTGAATTTCTCTCTGTATAACCACAGCTCACACTCTGCACAATTAACGTTAATATTACATGAACTCATTTCCAATGACTGTTTTCCCACAGACCGAGTGACTGTTTGCAATAGTCTGGAAACAGAAAGCTTGCTTTATGACACGGAACTACTGGCACCAACTCACCTATGGGAACAGTTTTATTTTCTCCACTAAAATGGGGCAGCCAACTCATCTCATGCCATAACTTCAAACAAACAGTAACAACAAAAAAGATCCAAAAAACCTAACAGAGACACACACAACAGGAAAATTATAATGATTCAAAACCGACACAAATTCTACCATGACTGAGAATAGCTGGTTTTGGTGCTGGATAAACGGGGTGTGACGGCTCAGTCACCTGAAGAAAAACCCTCCTTTCCCTGTTTGCTCTTCCTCTTCTCTTAGTCCTCTCCAGATTATCACTTTTATGACAGAGGTAAAACAGAGTCTAATTCTCTATGGCACTCAGCTAGAAATTATGTACGTGCCCAGAGATGAAAAAGAAAATAAGTTGGTCTGTGCAAAAAGTAAGGAAGCATTCTTCAGCAAAGCAACTCAGCTGCACAATTTGGTGTCTGAGCTACATAGTGCTCTTGATTCAAAACACTCTGGAAAGACACAACCTACCCACACCTTTATAAAGGGGTCTATATACAAAAAATCAAAAGCATATTAGCCATTTGATCATTTAAGCAGGTACCTGATCCTCCTTTCAAATATCAGCACTGCTTTTCAAAGACTAAGAATTCCTTACCTTCACTCGCTGCTTTTGAAACATCTCCTTTGGAAATAAATTTCAACATTTTCTTCAGAACTTTCTTGTGAGATTTGGAAGCCTGGAAGCACAAAGCCTGGCACCTTAAAAAGAAAAAATTATGACCACTTCTTTTGTGAAAGATTATTTCAGAAAAAAACATTAAGGAACCACTTAAAAACATTACACTCTATATGTATTTACTAATTATTTAAGTTTCCCTGTATTAAGTGGTCAAATATTTTATCAACACTTTTGAATTTTATGGTGTAGTTGAGAACTATCAATGTTAGGTTAATGGTTGGACTAGGTGATCTTCAAGGTCTTTTCCAACCTAGATAATTCTGTGAATTAAATTATGTTGCCTTTTACTGCATAATATCATACTTTATGGCATGTTTTGCATGTATATCACTGTAATCACTACAATACACCACGGTGACCTCAAGCACCACATAAAAAAGTTTCCCTAGGAGGTTGATACACTCGAATTTTTCACTTATCCATCTTATAAATACAGCACTGATACTTACAACTAATGCTGGAAAAGTGTATCTAGAATTACTCACACCTAATCAACTGACTGCCTCTCATATTTGGACTACTAAAGCAGTGTTTGTGGCATACAGACATACTGGGTCACCTGCAAGCAGTGAGCAAGAGAGCAACCATAGGAGTCTTGCTTTGGATTGCAACCCAGAGGCAAAAGGCAGGGGCACACACTTAGCAGATTGCTTACAGGAGAAAGTCACAGAGTTGCTGACATACCTATGCACAAATCCAGCAGCGTACATTTAGCATTCAAAGCATCATTAAAAGCAGATAAACTTTTCAAGTGTTATGTATTTAAAGCACTAAACGCAAATGTTACCGACAAATAATTCACAGTAGTAGATTTTGAGTTTCTTACCTTATTGTGTACTGAGGACAACATGTTTGATTCATGATAGGCTTGTAGACACATTTTCCACTTCTAAAAATAATAATAAATATGTATTGATTTTTTTGTTGCTTATACTACAAAATAAATGGAAAACCAATCTTTTCTGTTAAAACAGCAAAATATTACATGATGAGTAACAAAAATCAAGCAAGTTCTTCAGCTTTTTGCTGCTATACTAAACTACTATCCTTCTAAAACAATTTATTACTTTCCTGGTCCACAGTGTTACAAAAAGTTGCAGAGCATTGGATAAATAGTTCTATTTCAATTACTGACAGAAACTAGTTAACTGTTGTTGTGGGTTGACCTTGGCTGGATGCCAGGTGCCCACCAAAGCTCTATCAGTCCTGCTCCTCAACTGGACGGGGAGAGAGAATATAAGGAAAGGCTCATGGGTCAAGGTAAGGACAGCTTAACAAAGCAAAAGCAAAGGAAAACAGAAGATTTTATTCTCTACTTCCCATCAGCAGGAGATGTCCAGCCTCTTCCCAGGAAGCAGGGCTTCAGAAAGTGTGTCACTTGCTCCAGAAGATAAAGGTAAATAACAAATCCCCCCCACTTTCTCCTGCTTTCTCTCAGCTCTTGTTGCTGGTATGGACTATCCCTTTGGTCAGTCGGGGTCAGCTGTCCTGGCTCTGTCCCACCCCTCAGCCTACTGGTGGGGGGGATGCTGGAGAGAGCCTTGGTGCTGTGCCAGCACTGCTCAGGAGCAGCCAACACACCAGTGCGGTGCCTTACCAACACCTTGGTAGCCACCAAGACACAGCACAGCACCACGGGGGCTGCTGTGGGGAAAATTAACTCCATCTCCGCTGTTTTCACAGACCTAAATTTTAAATCTGGATTCTAAGTTGTATCTGAACTGGCAACACGGCTTTGTATTTTCTTTTTAAATTTACCTTCGCCATCCTCTGTCTATCAGATCCTGATAATCTTGAACTGTCATTGAATGTGCCCACATACCTGGAATAAGTAATACAGTAACACACTTAACTGACCACAATTATGCTTTAAAACACAAGTTCTACAGAAAACTGACCACAGTTATGCTTTAAAATACAAGTTCTACAGAAATATTACTGTAAATCTGAGGAGCTAACAGCAACTTTCAAATAGATGTCTTTCAAGGATTTGGCATATTCATAAATCACCAATTTCAACATGCATATTAAGTGTAAAAAAAAACAAAACCAGCGTAATTCTTGGGATGCAATCAACTGCATCACTCTGATGGTACACGTTAAAAGTTTACCTCTCCACGTGCTATCTTTCCCAAAAATACACCAACAAAATAACGAAAAATTGCTCCTTAATTTTGTTAAAGTCAGTCGGAAGCACTGGGCCAGAAGATCTTTTCCAAGCAGCGCTGAAGCTGACACAGACCATTCCCGGGGACTCCTCAGAGAGCAGCTGCCCGGGTGGCCGCCGAGCTGAGCGGGGCTCGGGGACTGTCACCTCTTCACCGGGCAAAAGAATACAGTCCGCTTCCCGTTAGGCTGGCCTAAGGGAAACTTGTCTAATCACAGCTTTAGAGCCATCGAGCCTTGCCAGGCAGACACACTCTCCTGGAGGGGTTAAGCCAAGCTGTCGCTGGAGGGTCAGGCAGGGCAGCTGCACCTCAGAGTAACGCTGTTCCCGCACAACGCTTTGGGCGAGACCTTAACTAAACCCTTAGTTAGGGTCAATTAAAACATCTCCTCCTTTACAAAGCTTTCCCGTTATTTTTGATGGTTTGCCTTTAAAGCACTCCTATAAAACGAGACCATGGGGGGGAGGTTTCCCGGTGAGACCGCGGCCTCCAGCGGCCCCGGCTCGGCTCGCCCCGCTGCAAGCCCCGAGCAAAGCGCCCAGGGGTTCGGGGCACTCTCCGGAGGGCAGGCCAGCCGCGGCTGCCAAACCGCCGCCTCGCCCCGCCGCTCGCAGGCCTCCCTCAGCG